ATCATCACAATTCCGAAAAAAGGCAATCTGCAACTGTGCCAAAACCACCGCACCATCAGTCTGATTAGCCATCCCAGCAAAGTCCTTCTGAAGATCTTACTGAATAGGTTAAAACCCCAAGCTGAACTGATCATAGCGGAAGAACAGGCTGGATTCAGGGCAGGACGGAGCACCACAGAACAAATATTCAACCTAAGGATTATCAGCGAGAGATATCTGCAGCATCAACAACATCTCTACCACGTGTTTGTAGACTTCAAGAAAGCCTTTGACCTGGTATGGCATGCAGCACTGTGGACAACCATGAGAAAATACAACATCAGCCCTAACCTTATCAGGGTCATACAACATCTGTACAGCAAAGCTACCAGTGCAGTTCTCTACAACGGAGCCATCGGTGACTGGTTCAAGACAACAATTGGAGTGCGCCAAGGATGTCTTCTCTCTCCCATACTCTTTAACATCTTTCTTGAGCGTGTTATGGCGGATGCCTTGGCGGACCACGAAGGAAGTGTCAGCATAGGAGGTAGACCAATTACAAACCTTCGTTTTGCTGATGACATCGACTTGCTTGCTGGAGAAGAAAATGAACTTGCTAGCCTAGTTCAAAGGCTTTACATCACCTCCAGAGCATATGGTATGGAGATCCATGCCGACAAAACAAAAATCATGACCAACAACAACAATGACATCCTCTCTGGCATTGAAGTCAATGGACAGGCACTAAACTGTGTATCGAGCTTCAAGTACCTCGGAGCAATTGTGTCCGATGAAGGATCAAAGCAAGAAGTCCTTGCCAGAATTGCTCAAACGACTGCAGCCCTGGCAAAACTCAGGCCCATATGGAAAGATAATAACATCAGTCTGGCATCAAAAGTGAGACTGCTGCGCTCACTTGTCACCTCAGTCTTTCTCTACGCTTGCGAAACATGGACCCTTACAGCAGAACTGCAGAGGAGAATACAGAGTATGGAAATGAGATGCTACAGAAGACTTTTGGGTATCTCTTACACCCGACATGTCACTAATGAGGAAATCCGTCAAAAGATCAGACAAGCCATCGGCCCACATGATGACCTCCTATCCACTGTCATTAAGTGGAAACTGAGGTGGTACAGACACGTCACCAGATCCTCAGGCCTTGCAAAGACCATCCTGCAAGGCACCGTACAAGGTGGCAGAAGAAGAGGGAGGCAAAAGAAAAGATGGGAAGATAACATCACAGAATGGACTCACTTGAAACTCAATGAGGCAATGAGAGCTGCCGAAGACAGAGAAGGATGGAGAGAGCTGGTCAGCAGATCGTCTGTGGTGCCCCAACGACCCTCCGGGGTTACGGGATAGACGAGACGACGACGGTATCGAGGATAGCAGTGATTGCGCATTTCCTGTTTTTCATGGCCGGCACATTATTTGTCTTGCACAGTCATTGAGCTGATCCAGGCGGATGTCACTCGTTACCCTTTCCACCAGAAGCCACCGACCTATGTACGAGCCCACCGCTACAGATATTGGTTTACGGAACCCAAAGAGGACGGGTTAGTAATACTTACACTGCCACTCTCCTCGACTTTTAAACCACAAAAGAAGCAAGTTTAGTACGATTTTGAAATAATGTTGCCATTTGATTTACAGGCGACCAATTGTGCATTTTTTTTCTTCCACAATTTAAAACCATCCCCAGCTGTCTCGATAATGTATTACGCTTGTTTTCCTTGTTGGAATTGGCCTGTTTTGCGGGTTATTGGTCCCCCACCCTGATCTATTGCGGGGTTTTCCAATACTTTTGTTACTATGACGACTAGGATCCGAGCGCCACTTGGGCTACCGGTATTTGTTGAGTCCTGAGTCGAAAATAGCGAATCCAAATTGTCACATTCAAACGAGCCTCCGAAAAGAAAAGAACTATGTTCACTCAGCGAGTCGGCACAGTGTCACCCACTTTGACATATTTTGATAATACGTACAGTTGTTTAACCATTGCTTGAAAATGTCTGATCTTCACCCAGCCTAGCTCTCAAGTCATGTGCAATGGAACTCAGGGATAATGTAAACGAATCCCACTATTGCATCACAATCTGGTAAAATTAATAAAACACATTTGGGGTAATCGACAGCTTTTAATAAAAGTTTTCTTGATGAATTTTGCAATTGGCAGCCACCCCATTTGCTTACAAGCATTTGAAAATAACCTATATGAGAGCGAGAGAGATTTAAGATTTATTTAACCAGGCTAGTTGCATTGAGATCAAAGATCTCTTTTCCAGCCCTGACCAATGGCAACGAGACAGTTTCAAAATCAAACACAAGCTCACAGAGATCATATTGAACAACAGGTTGAGTCATAAGAAAATGAATAACACACTGCTGCCTCTGTACAGATCATACCCCCAGAGGTGGTGGAGGAGGGTCTACAGTGATGAATTTTTTCCTGTGGTGCATCTGGGCCACCCGTTCCTCGAGGGCATGCTGACTCAACATGGACTCAAGGCACTTTAAACACACACACACACAGACACACACACACTGCATGCAGTCACTCAGTGCAGGGAGGAGGGGTACATTTGGCACTTGAGGATTTACCCCCCAACCTAACCCACCTCTTAATGCTGCCACCATCATGTCAAAAATGATAGAAACCTTTAATAGTATACAAAACTTATCCACCTAAATCTAGAGAAGTTGAGAATCAATATTTATCTAATGACATAACAAAAACATCAAAACTTGATCTCAAATCAATGTAAATGTCGTCGCTTCTGACCTTGAGGCAGGCAGGCATAGAAGGCACCTTTTAATGAAACCTGGTGTGACGCATGTTCTCGTTCTTGCACTTTTTAACGGCATTTCAATTAGTTTCAAAGGGGTAAAAAAAAAAAAAAAAGATGCTGCCCTACTTCAGTCTAAACATTATTGTATTAATAACAACTTCGCAGGAAAAGGCACCACCACGCCGCAAGTTGAACTCCACCGTAGCCCAGGCGGTGCAGTGGGTGCGGGCCCAGGTGTCGGGATTCCCTGCCCCTGTGCTCATCTGGACCCTGGTTGGTTGCAGCGCCACCTTGTGCCTGCTGCTGGCATTGCCCAGGAAACAAAAGCACGTCACGGGCAATTCCGATCAGAAAGACACTCCGCCCAACGCAAAAAAGACGATGGATGAGGATGACGAAGCTCGTAAGGAGGAAGAGGAGCGTGGGAGTGAAAACGAGGGTGAGGTTGAGGAGGATGGTGATGAGAAAGATGGAGAGGGGGTCACCACTGATGATGAAGAGGAGGAAAAAGTAGAGTCGGAAGTGGAAGAGCAGTGATGAAAAAGGGGCTGATGTTACCAAATTGAGCAAAGAGGTATGTGTGTGTATATATTTGTACTTTCTGTTTTGGCTCTCTGGTGTACATGTTCATATGGATGATTTAATTATATTTGGGAAAAACACTAGCTTGTCAGCAACTGACACGAACCCCGAAGTTGCATTTTTTTTTTTCTATTTGTGGGTCACGTTGTCAATGCAGCACTTTTTTTCCATACACAAATGCCTTTTCTTTGTGTGCACAACACCAAAAACATTTTTTAAAGAAAATACAGTATTGAAATACAATAAATGATTGTCCTGAAAGTCATTTTCATCCAAGCACTCATTCATGTTTTTCACAAAAAAACTACGTACAGCTACTACATATTGGAAATTCGTAATGGGCTGTTTGGTAGTGAATGAATAGCTCTCGTGGCGCCATTTCACCATTTCAGTATCCCAGGACAGTATTTGTCAATCAGTGACTGGTAGTATGGACACAGCTTCTTCACGTCAGGCAGCTCAGCTGCTTTTGTGTAGAGATCGAATTTGCTGCAGGGAACACACGCAAATGCAAATGTACAGTTAAGGTCAAAGTTATTAGCTCCGATAGAAATTTTGACATTTATGTAAACACCGCACAATGTTGACAATCGTAATTTATATGGTAAATTATGTAATATGGATGTGAATTATACAATCACACTAATAAAAAAATATTATTACTCAATATTACCCTTTAAAATAAATGACCTATAGATTATTTGATTTTGTTCATTTATAGCCTATCAATATATGTCAAAACTGTTTAGAAATGCAGCCAAATCTTTCCGGTAACAGTCCAGGCTAAATTTAGCTCCTCCCAAACATTCAAGGATGTTAGAACAGTCGACATACTTCCGTGACAACTTTTCAACTAACCAACGGTTTGGTGGCATCTTTGAGCGTTGCTGAAAGAACATAAAAACTGGCTTATGTTAACTAGTCTTATTAAATAAAGTAACATTTTCCATACACTCACCTTTTTTTGTAATCTCATTTATGGCCCATATGCCTGTTTTCAAATTTTAAACGTGGCCCTTGATTGCAGCATTAAACAGGAGGGAGGTATTCATTTGTTAAAAAAACACCTATTTTAAACCAGGATAGGGTTAGGGTTAGGGTTGCATTTTTGTTTTTCAGCTGTTGACTTTGTTCTCGCGAACCTAAACTAAAAACTGTTTGTCTCAAAGTCATCATGTCATAATAGGAATTATTTTATTTCTTGAAGAGGGCTTTAATAATTTTGACCTAAACTGTATGTGTAAACAGTGGACTTGGTGAGACGATTCAAACTAATTGTGCTCCACTCACTTAAATTCGTTAACCCAAGGCAGCATTCGCAGATCTTTGTCGTTGCACAGGTACATGTAGTCACCTTGGGAGTGCCAAGGGTAGAAGGAATGGTAGCGGATCATGTTGAGGCCCTGCGTGGACGGCACACAAATCACAGGGCGGTATTGAGTCAGCATGTGACCTCGAGGGAAGATGACTCAACGAAGGAGGTTACTCACCTCCTCGGGGATGCTGCACTTGTTGAACTGGAGAACGCGGTAAAGGTACTCTGAGGCGCACAAGACATGAAGTAGACTTGCAATATTTACTGTAATTATATCAGTCAAATCAAGTCAAATGCACAAGAAACATCATCATACTAATATGAAATGCTACGACGAATTAAGAGTGTTCAATTTTGTGTTGAGACAGCGGTACTGTTTTTTGGGTGGTTGAGGGCTAAAAGGAGGGTTTAGGGTCTCCTTTTTATCGCTATAAATTAACTTGATTGAACTTTTAGGTTTTCAATGACAGCCCTTTAAAAAATAAAAAAAACTCGAGAGCCAGGCAATTTAGAGCATTGTGACTATTCAAAGGCTGACAGAATATTGTGTTATTATGTAAACGCAAACTACAAAATGAAAGATTAGACTGTTCTTCAATCGCACAGAAAAAGTTAGTTTCTACCTATTTTCGCGTAAACATCACCAAAATACAGATTGGTTTCATCAATTCACGTATTTTGCATGAAAAGCGTTTTGTGAAAAGATATCTTTGATGCTAATCATTTTTTGCTTAAGTGACACGTCAAACATCTTGCTCATCTAAAACAGATTCAATGCTGCCACCTGCTGGCCATATTGATTAATTTTACTTTCACGGCTAAATGATCAAACCACAGTTGGTTGACCAACACTTTTCTTTGCCCATTACAAAATAAAAAAAAAACCCACACTTCACGACGATTAACATCCTCAATGCTCCTTGTGAGGATTCCTGTTGACATTTTACGTCAATGCGGCTCAAAGAGATAAATTCCAGGAACTAAATATTTCAGGAATGTAAGGTATAATTTCAGGCTCAGATTACAAATCAAGATATTATTACCGGTACTGTGAAATACCAAAGTAAAATAGTATGATATTGTTCATCGTTTTATTTAGAATTTTTCAATATACGAATTTTTAATCAAATATGTCACACTGACTACGTCCAACCACAATAATAAAGATTGTTTATTTAAGCTTTAATGTATTTGTAAAGGCAGAACTCTCTCTCTCTGAAGTGATATAAAACATACTTTGAATAAATATACTCACCATCATGACCCCAGGACAAAAGCACATTGTCAAGCCCGCAATTTGGTTTGTAGATTCCATATTTCGAGCTGACGAAAACAATGCATGAAAAGTACGTCAACTTTAACAAAATGGTGAGTCTCCTGTTAAAAAGGAAAACATTTTGCAATTAAATACAAAATTGCTGTACTTCACTTGCACCATCAGTTTTCTCTTAAGAAGAAATTGGCCCTTCAAACCTTGACAACCAATCATGCGTTTAGGTGCCAGCTTTAGCGGGCGAAATATCTACTTGTAGCTGGGATTTGTGTCGTCCGGGTTATCCTGGAAGGTGCTGTCTCGGAACACAATGGAGTTTTGAAACGCGCAGCCCACAGGGAATGTGTCACCAACCACGGCCCACTGTGTATTTTCCATGCACACAGAAAATGTTGCGGGTCAGTTTTGAGAATGTCCTCATCATTTTCTCTATCAAATTATGCAAAATGTAGCCTGTGTAACATTAACGTACGTATGCTTCATTCTTAATGTTTCAGAGCAAATGTGGTAGGGATGCAGACAGTTATCAGGATTTTAGTGCTCCCTCTTGAAGATTGTTGCTAGTGCCCCCACACCCCCCCAAAAAAAAGTACACACATTTATAGCATGTGCAAGGATCACCGTTTCACAATTCCCAAGAACAACATTTAGGGTATTTTTATTTGTTGTCATATGTCAAATGGGTCAAATTTGACCCCAACAGTAGGTAAGGATTCATAACAATTGTAATCACGTCTTACCTGAGGTTCCCCCCACAGCGCCATGACCTTCCCAACATCATGAATCAGACCCACTAGCTGGAACCAGTCTGAAAAAAAAAGATATTCAAGGCATACACGAATCAGTCTCCATTCACAATGGTGAGTACCCTGTGGCATTTATTTAATCAGCTGTTGTTTATTTGATTGGAGGTGTCCATTTGTCTCTTATTGTTAACCGTTACATTTTGATGAATTTGAACATGAAGCCGTTTGTAGCCGCGCACCTTTGTCTGGGTGCTCGTTGCGGATGCCCTCGGCCGTCTGGAAGGCATGGAAGGAGTTGGGAAAGTCCACGTCTGGATCAGATTCGTCCACCAGCTGGTCAAGAGACATGACGGCGTCCATCATGGACATTTCGGTGTGGCTGCAGCCGCTCCATTCCAAGTGCTGCGGGGAAGGCCCAAAGGTATCGGAACCTTTGATTTATTTCTGTTTTAGACTTCATAACTCTTCTTTCGATGCTGTCTAAATGTCAGAATTGCACAGTCATGGCTTGATTTTGGACCAAACAGTGGAACCTCTAAAACTCAAAATGCTCAAGTGAAGGCTAGGAACTTAAAAAAAAAAAAATGTAAATTGCGGGACTCTTAAGTAAAGGTCCACTAATTGTAAGCAAATCAAAAAGACAGTGTTGTTGGATGAAAAGAAAAGCATTAGCAAACAGCAAGAACACCCTGCAGTAGATGAGGAGGGGCGAGCAGTTGCTCATTTGCATGAGACAACCAATGTACGAGCTTGATGACTCACTTGATAATCGATCAATCAAAAACAAAAACAAAAAATCACAGAACATGAATTCAGAGAATGTGTGTTGGTGGTGTGCACTTTCACCTTTCGCTTGACAAAGTCCACATTCTGGTTAGTGTGCATCAGCTTGTATGTGTTGTACACATGCTCGGCAACACTCCCCGTCTGAAATGCGTGATCGCAACAAGTTTGCAAACTTGTCAGTAACATGCAGCACATTTCAAATGTACAGCAACTGAGATTTTAAGTCAGAAAAATGACATGAACAATGACATTTTTGAAATGCCATCTGTGTTGGAGATTAGTTAGTTTTTTTTTTTTTTTTTTTGGGCAGGGAATATACGACAGCTCTTGTAAATCGATTTGTGCTGGTGTACCTAATGAAATGCCCAGCGAGTAGCAAAATGCAATCTACTGTAAAACAATTGGTCAATGTATTCCTTCACATTCATACAGAAAGGTCCAAGTAATAGTTACTAACAGTGGAAGACGAAGGTCTTTTTTTTTTTTTTACAGCTAACAAAAACCCAAACCATCTCAAGAAATGATAATACACAAAGAAAATATTTTTTATTTAATGTCAAAATTACCAGTTCGGTAGGTAGGAATTCAGGACTGAAAATGCTCCTGTATTTTTCTAATCTTGTACAATCATTAAATCTGTTCAATTTCGAGCTTGGTACATGGACGGTAACACATTGACAACATTGTGTTTCCAAATGTCTAATTTGTTGAACTTGCCTCAAAGTTTCGGAAATCTTTCCTTTGGGATTTAGGTGTTCGGTTTGGCTGATAAACCAGATTTGGGTCTGGACCCTGCAGGTGTAAAAAACAAACAAAAACAAAAAAAATGAATTTAGATTTACATAACATACGCTAGATTATTTATTTATTTATTTTACTGAAGAAGCCCACTTACCAAGTTAATGACGCTCATGCTTGTAGATGACAAGTTATTGTTGTTGTTGCGCCAATTTATATGTTGCGTCCGCTTGTGTCCGGTCACAGATTAACCAGACTTCAGTGAATCTAACGGGATGTCTCTGCTCAACCTTGAACTTGTGTGTGTTTATGTAATCCTGCCCACGTTACCTTGTTTTTACCCGTCGAGAAGCGCTCGGTTATTCTTTTCCATTTGAAAGTCTGATTTTACATGCCGAGCAGCAACAACAAAACCCCTTTTTGTTGACCACCCACAGGGGACTTGCCCAGAGAGCCATACGTACAGAGACTCCAAAACAAAATCACCCCAGAAAAAAATGGATAAGATATGATCAAACGCAGGCCCGAGAAGGGGCTTCATTTCACTCGCACCAGAACAACTCACTCCAGTGGCCATTTATCACAATAGAGAAGACCTGGCCTCCTTCAGGCGAACTATGGCACATTGGTTTGGATCAAAACCCGAGAAAGTGTTCACTTGAAACATCCGCTTCAATTGGGAAGGCGTCAAAGTTAAAACAGTGCCAAGTTAGATCAACTACCACTGGCAACAGAGGGCGCAGACACGCATCGGGAAGGCGCTTACTAACTCACAGATATCCAAACAGGGCCTTTGCCTTCATTTTTACAGCTTCACTGAGTCACGGACACATTTTGGGAAATTCACAGCTCATAAAAGATTGACTCGGTTGTGTCATTTCACATTTGATGGTTGGGCAGCCGCTCCACAGACGGAATTACTTGCATTGAAGCGTTTCAAAAAGTCGATTTTCCACAATATGTTCCCTTTGTGAGGGGTCTTAGCATGCACGAAGGTGGATTTTGTTTGCTCATGTGCAAAAAGTGGCTGCGACTGTCCAACCAGTCTTCAAGCTCTGTTTATTCACTATACAGGAGTCTTATAATGTTATATGCATCATAGCATCGTTCACTTTTTCCCTTTTTACCGCTCACGTGCCTTTACTACTTTTGTTTTTTTCCCCACTAATAGAAAATCTTTCAGTATGTTGGATGTTATAAATATTTAATGTTGAATTCAGCGAGTGTTTAATTTCACTTTAGCAGGATGACGAATTCCAGGTTTTTACACGTAGAGTGTGCTGCTCGCTGGACACCGAGGCACACCTGCAAAATTCTGCTCATCCAAAACAGATAAACACATTTTATAAATGAAAAACTATTTGCCCCCTTTTGAAATTCTTTTGTTTTTGTATCGTTTCAACACTAAATTGGTTAAGATCATCAAACAAATGTCAACATCTGATAAAGATAACCCCAAAACATAAAATGCCGTTTTTAAATGGTAGTTTTATTTTTAGTTTTTTATTTAAAGGAAACGACAAACCAGGCAATTTTTTTTAATTTTGAATTTATTTATTTATTTTTGAATTTGTTTAGAATTTATTTAAAATGAATATTTTTCTTGCCAAAAAAATAAAAAATAAAATAAAAAAATCTGATTGACTGTGATGATTCTGTTTTTGTTTAGATTAGATTTAGTTTTGTTTCCTCGTGCTTTCGTCATTCCCCGTTAGGTTTAGTTTTTCTCTGTTCTTGTCATCCGGGTCCCTTTGTGTTAACCAATCACCTTCTTCAACCCTTTGTGTGTTGTCCGGGTGTTCCTTGTTTTCTCGTCAGTTTGGTTGTACGGTATTTGGTTCCTGGGTTAATTGCTTGGAAAATGATCTTTGTTGTCAGCACCATTGCTTTAAAACTGGCAATTTAAAAGCGATGAGGAAAAAAAATGGTTTTGGGTCCGCAAACAGCGTGGACTTGTCTTAACTGATCCGCGACACGAAAAAGGTTAACAAATGTCGTGCCAATAGCTTCGGACTTTCCTCCTGTGTGTGTGTGTGTGTGTGTGTGTGTGTGTGTGTGTGTGTGTGTGTGTGGGTGTGTGGGTGTGGGTGTGGGTGTGAGCTGCGAGTGAATATAGCGTGTATGAGGGACAGAGTGTGAGTGACTGAGGGTGTGTTTCCCCATGTCTTGACCCAATTATGAATGTTGCTATTATCAATTTTAAAGCAATAGCATTGTACCTCAAAACAAGATGTTGAAACCAAAACGAAAACACACACACACACACACACACACACACACACACACACACAGGGTTTACTTGTGTTTATTACATAATGCTAGTGCTGTATAAAAAAAAAAGAACATCTTTCGTAACAGGAATACTCAATACGAGAATCAATACAGTGCTTGTCTTGTAACTTTTCACCTCAAATATCACTTGAATAATCCACCATGCTTAAATTAAAAGACATCAAAAGCAGACAGTGTTCAGGCCTGGAAAATCATTCAGTTAAAGCAAAAATGGAAGCCTTCCACGAGGTGCAGTAAAAATGTTTTACATTGGATATTCCATTCTCTTTTGATTCGTTGTCAGTGAACAGATGGTACTTTTGGCTGCTTGCGTGGCTTGTTGTTCGAAAGTCAAAGGCACGACTTGAGGTTCAACTAACTAATCTAAAAGGACAAAATGTCAAATTGAGCAATACCTCCTCAGAGCATGAAAACAGTTGTGACCGCAGTTATTTAGTTACCATAGTTGTCACATGAGCCAAGGAAGAACAATTTTGGTGAAGATCTGGCAAAACCTAACTTGTTCAAGATCTGCTTGCATTGGGTTCAAGTGGGGAAGTGACCACCTGTTGGTGGGGCGGGGGGAAGCTTGCTTATGGGCGTGTGGCAGCTGACATTGTTATTATTGTATAATTATTTCTATTGAAAGACCTTTAAGACACCAAAGTTCTTCAGTCATAAGTCACAACAAAAAAAGTAATGCACTGTACAGTAACAAAGAATAAACATTGATATACAGTATATGTATCTGTGTCGAAGTATGTTTTCCAGAAATATTTGAAAGTGGATGGTCAAATGTGCATTACTGCCACCAATAGGAATCCAGTAAAATAACCATCTGATGCACTTTTATTTTTCCCAATATGGAGAGCATTTATGTGCTCAAAGGCCACATTTGATTTATAAAATGGACAAGTAGGCAAGGTCATGCGTAAATGAGGTTAAATTTATTTCATAATCTGGATCTTTTATGAATGAATTAATCAATTAGCCTTGAATGGTCATTTTAACTGGCGGCACTGTGGGTGACTGGTTAGCACGTCGGTCTCACAGTGCAGAGGTGCAGGGTTCGATGTGGAGTTTGCATGTTTTCCCCATGCCTGAGTGGGTTTTCTCCGGGTACTCCTGGTTTCCTTCCAAAAACATGCGTGGCAGATTATTGAAACATTCTAAATTGTAATAATTGAAGTGAGCGGGAGCGTGAATGTTTTTTTCGTCTATGTGTGCCCTACGATTGGCTGGCAACCAGTTCAGGGTGTACCCCGCCTACCGCCCGAAGACAGGGTCCACCCCGAACTGGTCGCCAGCCATTCGCTGTCAATGCACATGTCTAACTATTCAATGTTTCAATACAGGTTGCCTCAGGTTTAATACATGAATGGACCATCTATGCCTTTCTGTGACTCCTTCAGTCTTTTTGTAGCAACCTGCTGATGACATTTAAAAACTCTAAGGTCAATGTCCATTTCCTTCCGAGAACATCCTGTTTAAAATTCTCATAGAATCAGGATTTGGATTGACCAACGATCGAACGCCGGTTGTGAATTTTGCCATTCAGTTTCTTGTTAGAGAACAACAAATTCAGCATCAAGTACCGCTACGCTGCGCAGTTGGACATGTGCATTGAAGAGTATGAGGTCAAATTAAGGTCACTTAAAATGGACAGCAGGTCTATGATGACGAATGAAATCCCAAACAGACAAACTGCAAGTCTCAGCCGTAGCTATGAGGACTACGAGGGTCGATGGGGGAGGAGTCATGCCTGCCTCTGCGTCCAATCAGCTGATAGAGACGATGGCTGAGGTTCTGCACCTGACAGGTGCCCAGGACACAGCCCGCCCTCATCATCTGCCTGTGGGTCCTTCGACTTTTGGCGTGGCGACGTCCTCGGGACCTACCCCGTGCGCTTGGCCATGCTTCCTGCTCCATTTCAAACCACCTCGGCGAGGGTTCCTTCGTTCTGAGAACCCGCCAGATAAAACGATTCTCTGCCAGGGTGACGGTGTCATCAAGGGCGATGGCGTAATCGGACGTAGGCAGTGCCATGTGTTTGAAACATTTGGATGGTCTGGGAAACACAAAAGAACGTTTTGTTCAATTTGGTTGTGCCAAACACAAACCCCCATGGGTCACTTGATAGTGGCATGTGAAAAGTTTAAAATATATCATCCCGCAACACCAGCTTCAGCCATCAATACAAAGTTTGGAAGGCATGTTTTTCAAAATAAAATGCATGAAAACATCGCAAGGACTCACACTAAAAAATGAATAGGAGGTCAGCCATTTTGGGCAAATTCCACTGCTCGTCCCGTTTTTTCGCTACTCCCCAGTCTTCTTCTTCGCAATCATTTTAACGATACTTCTTTGACACCAATTATGACATTCGTATAAGCCAGGCTTGGGCACCAACTTGTGGCCTCTTAGGGAGTTCGAAAAAAACCACAAGAATATTTCGGTCAGTTTTTGAGCAAATAGCTGAGGATGTCCCACCAAAAAAAAAAATGAGTACCAGTAAACTGTGAAAAGGCAGAGGTTTCACTGCAAACCGCATTAACGTCTTCCTCTGAATTTATGACACTCCACTGAATTTTTGCTTCATCATCTTCACGAGTCCTGCGGCTGTTTCATCAAAGGTTTAAGTATTTGACCCAAATCAAACTTGTGGACCCTGTGGTCTGTGGCGCTATTTCCAAGAGTCCATCGTTCCAGTTAATCAACAATGGAATTAGAGGGTTGCGCAAGAAGCCCCCCCAGCCCAAAAAATGTCTGTTAAAAGGCTTGACCACTTACTCTGAAGAGGGATTTTCAAGTACTTTTCTTCTCACCTCGCTGCTGTCTCGCCTATCATCACAATACCCCAATACACTTAACTTTTTCTTTTCCCATTCCAAGGCATTTCTGGATTTCACAGTGGTGACCAGGAATTACAGATTTTCAGGCTCAAATGAATAGCAGCTTTGAGTGTTACTGTCTAGCAACTATTCATCTGTTTACTGAATCAAGATAAATATTTAGTGAGCCGCCATTTCCTAAAGTGTGACTCTGAGTGACCCCCTTTTTTTTTTGACAGATTTAGACATCACAATTGCGATAATTTAAATACATGTAACACTCAAATACATAGCATCTCCTCCCATTACTTGGCAGTGGTCTGTGTCAAGAGCTACGATTTCTAAGTGCTGGTTGGACTACATGAAGATACAATGGTGCCAAAGCCAAAACCTAGCAGAGGTGCAGTGTTGTTGGATGCACAGGTGAGCATTGTGGTAATCTAGAATGTTAATCCGAACATGCTAGATTGCTTCAGAACACTGTTATCGACGTGGAGGTGGTATTTGTATTTGGCAATTTGTCCACTGCATGTCCCACATAAACCAATCTGCACACCAAGTGAAACGTATACTTTCGAAGGCTCGTGTTGAAGTGCTGCCTTTATGAGTGAAAATACAATCTTTGCTTTGACTGTCTTTTTTTTTGGCACTTGCTTTCTTCATCAGACTCTGGGATGCCGCTTGCTTCTACAAGCAAGTGGAGCAAGACATCTCCACCCCTCGTTGTCGTGGTAACAAAATCCATACTCTGTGTAGTGAGCAGTGCTGCTCAATGTAAATTGTGATAGAAAATGTGTATATATATATATATGTTTTATTTAGCCCACACACTTTAAAAAAACACACCCTAAACTTATTAAAAACTGATTAAAACAGATACTTTTATCAGTTGCTCTTGTGAAGCAAGTTTACGGGGGGGGGCTCTACTGTGGTTGTTGCCAGTGACAGTATTGTGTTAAATCCGTCACGCTCACTTTCATTCCCCTCTTTCCCACCAGCCGCTGTTCTTCAGTGTACCCCCTGCTGTGAAAACTTTTATGAAGCTCGTTTTTCCCCCTTATGTAATAGTTTGAGAACAAGGTCTCACTGTGCAACAAAAAAATAAAAATAAAACAGGAACAGATTTTTCTTGTCATAAATATTTTCCTTTTCAAAGATATTACATTATTACATATTGATGACAGTCACACAAAAAAAAAACAACAAAAAAAAACGCGTATTCTACCTCATCTCACTAGGGGGCTTTTTGACGGCGAGACGGCACCTCAACTAAACACGCGTCCTTGTCCCAAATCCCGCTAAATCACCCTCACCTCCGTCTCACCTCTGGGCCGCTGAAAGGAGTGACCTCATTCCTCATTCTCACAATTTTGCTGTACTCCACTGCAACGCCTGAGAAGCTATTGTGACCGTGTCACGAAAGCTGTTGATTACATCCCCATAAGCCATCTTTGTTGACATTATAACACAAGTCCTGTCATACCCTAAGATGTGGACAAGGACAGCCAAAGTTGTGATGCACTTTTAGCCGTTTACTGAACAGGAACAAAAGTCAAAGACAAAATGAGGTCACATACAAGGAGCTGTTGTCAGCCGCAACTCCCAGACAGTCATGCGCAGAGTTGCTAACTGGCCAATCTGACTCTACCTTCTGATGTCACTAGGCGATGCTCCTTACAGTCACACATCCAACACGAATGCTACAGTACATACTGTCATTAAACTTTGTAAAAATTATTATTATTATTATTATTTTTTACAATGCAATGCTATTTGTCCCTTTCAAAAACGTAATCAAAATGTTTGTGTTTAGTTTTGTTTTGCGTGTGTGTGTGTGTGTGTGTTTATATATATATATATATATATATATATATATATATATAAACAAAACACCCAGAAAATAAAAAAAGATTGAGAAAAAAAGCATATCATTCAATCTCAAATTTGTCTCCTTTTCATAAATCCATCCATATTCTACTGTATTACTAGATATACTGTATTCTGAGATCGCCACATTTTAAAATTTGTATGTGCAACATTTATATCTATCTATCTATCTATCTATCTATATAAGTGACATCAGTAGACTTCTCGAAAATAACGGACCGTCGTCAAATGGAAAGTTTGTCTATTTTAAATTAAGCCTACAGGTGAACGAATGCCTGATCATAAAAGCTTATAAAAATATATATTATACGCTACGTGAACTGTACTATACTATAGGTTTTCATGCATTTCATTTTTTAATATAACGATGCTCTTAGTTCATGCACGAAACAACAAAAGATAACTAAAACACCAAGAAAATAATCATTCTCAAATAGCTGCTCCCCTCACAAAAATATAGAAAAGGCACCTTTGGGGAAACTATTTTTGGGGTCCTAATTTAACCCAGGCATCGTTTACTAGTCCGGTACTTTTTATTTGTTTGTTTCTTTTTTTGTCATTCAGGCTACTCAAAATACATGTATGAATAGAAGAGCTATTAAAACACAACGATATAACAGTGGTTCCTATTTGCTCGTGGTTACATTCTACGTCACTGCGAGGCGCGCACTTAAATGGTGCAATTGTCTTAATAAAAAAAAAAAAAATGTCCTCAGCAAAGCTGCCTCTCAAGCCGCCTTTTTAGTAGCTACGGTATGAGATGAAAAGTTTTACCTGTGTCTGGTACTCTGGACATTCTGGCTTAATTGCGCCCGAGTCTGGATTTCCAGGGGCAGGAGGCCGAAGAGAAGACACGTCCACGCCGGCAGCAGCGCACACATGACGGCTCAACAGAGTCACAAGAGCCCCTTTATCACACAGGAGGAAGGTGCGTTTAACACGGGTTGTGATGATAAAACAGCCGCAGTTGTCCCCGGGTGGCTTCTAACTTGGGGAATTTCTTGTGTTAAATAGAGTGACTTCTCAGTCGATGAGAAGTGCTCTTTTGTGAGGGAGCAGCTGGAATCATTTGGGTTTCTTGCTTCGAAAGTATGATTGAGGAGGGAGCAAGAGGATGAGGAGTGAGGACCGGAGGAGGAGGCAGGCTTACTGTGCCCTACAATCCCTTGAACAACACCTGTACAAGCTTAGCACAACACTGGGCTCATGTAATGAACCGTGCATTGCGGTGAGTTGAATAGCATTTGAAAGCTGAACAACATGCATATACTGTAGAATTTAAAAGTTTCATATTCATGCCAATCTAAAATTGTGTAAGTTGGAAACTTTTCATGGGCATTAACATGGGTAAACCACTTTTGCCACCTTTAGACCAAAATTATTTGAAAGGAGTGAAATTGTGTCTAGAGCAGTGGTGTCAAACATACGGCCCGCGGGCCGGATCCGGCCCGCAAAGGAGTTTAATCCGGCCCGCGAGATGATTATGTAAAGCAGGCTATGAAACATACGGCCCGCGGGCCGGAACCTGCCCGCAAGGAGGTTCAATTAGGCCCGTAGGATAATTTAAAAGTGAAAAAAATGCATTAAAGACAGAATTAATATTTTTAATAAGGTGCAATTCATTGAGTATCCGCAAGGGGACACTGTTTTGATCAGAGAAGAAGACAACAGCAGCCTCAGTCCGTCACTGTGACAGACCCATGACAACAGACGCTATCAATAGCACTCTCACATTTACACATTTAATAGCACTCTCCTTAGTTTGTAAGATTACATTTAGATTTTATATGCACGTGTAAATGGTTTAAAACTTCCTTTCTTTATGAATCTCGTTTAATCTTAAAGTGCATTACTATATTTTTCAATACCAATTACTTGTTAATGTTTGTACAATCAGTGGGATCATTTGCAATGCATTTATGTGAATGATAAAAGTAAATTGCACATTTGTCGAAGGAAATGTAAGGTGCTTCATGAAATATTTTGTAAAAGATATGTTCATTAAATTTCAACATTTTCCTAATGTTCTTGTGCTTCTTTATACCAAAACAAAGGAAAGACATTGTTTTGGTTATTTATAGCAAAGTATGGTATCATTTTAATGGTCCGGCCCACTTGACATCTTCCGAGGCCGTATGTGGCCCACCATGTGAAATGAGTTTGACACCCCTGGTCTAGAGAGAACTTGACGCACACACATGAACTAGTCAATCGAACATGTGAGCTGATACGGACTACAATAATAAAATTGCTGGGAGAGCAGCAAGCAAGAGTTTTGAATAGGGCTATACCGATATTCAGCATTTTAACGAATGTCGCTATTGAGCTTAAAAAGTGTTAATGTCAGCATAGAATTGCCTTGCTGGAACTAACTGCCCACCCTATGTTTGATGTTTTCGGGCCTCCAAACATTCAGCCCGAGAAGGTGAAAATGACTCTATAAAATGCATATAAAAGGGCGTAATCCATAAAATGGGACTATTGGAGACGACTTGTATTTATTTATGAGGGTGACAAAAATTTTGAACATGTTTGAGTTGATTCCCAGCCATAGTCTCCCGTTCAGTGTTTTAGTACCGAACGGAGGACACGGGTGATGAGCTAAGACTGTGAAGCAGATTTAGAAGGGCGTCCTGTACTCGACGAAAGTGGTTTCAGCCTTTAATTAAACTGCTGAATTGTGGGGTGTCTGTGACTCAGCACTTTGCAGCATTACACTCTTAAGCTCACTTTCCAATGCCGTTACCCTCAACTCAGGCTTAACATGTGCCCCCAAAACTCATCCAACAAAATCTCAGAGCAGTGTGCTTACATGTTTGTGTACCTTACTCGTTGCATCGGATGACTGATTCCAAACAGCAATTATTCTGAGATGTTGGTCCTCTTCTGGTTAGTTTGTATTTTCTAACAATCACCCCACAAGCCCCAGAGCAAATATTGGAAATGTAAATAATTTGTTCTGATTGAAACTACTACAAAACTGAATCCCATAGATCAAGTAAAACTGTTCTTTGCAATAATCATGTTATATGTGCCCCAACAACTCTAAACACAGTATTCTCATGATTATTGTGTTTGTGCAATATAATTTAATGATGAATCCACCTATTTTCAGGCATCCAATGAGGTGGACATTTTATGCAGTACCACCCCCAAAAAAACAGCCGAGCCGTGACATCATAGTTGGGCATCGTATTGGAGAGCATCGGCAAAAAAAGATTATCAATTGGGTGTTTACCTACTTTCATTTTAGGCTCATTAGGGGAACGATGGAAAAAAAAATGTTTTCATGGGCTAATTTTTCCAACTTTCTAAGACATTGCCATGTCTAAATTGCGTGTTCACACCGCTGTTGCGGTTTTGTGCCTTCAGATGACGAGCTACACCGGGACGCCAGTGCCAGCACCTGGAACAGAAATAACTGCTTTAAATGCAAAAGGGTGTACACAACGAGTCTCGGGATTTACCGTCAACTACACACGCAAAATATTGATGAAAAGGTAACCTACGAGGTGGGTCTCTTCACGTTAATGCTATTAAACACCCAACACAACTTTGCGGCGAACATTCCCTTGTGTCTTTTTCTAGTTTTCTGTTTTCGTTTGTTGTTGCAATAGGTGTCATTTTTTTATTCTATGGTCAGCCTGTTTTCCATCGCTGGTAGCATTCTTCAATGCAGGATTGCAAACATACACAGTACTGTAATGAATACTGTACACAGTACCTCATAGTATATACATTGTTGCCAGCAGGCGGCGCTGTTTGTCCAATAATGAGCACGCTCCTCCAACGATCCTAAAACTATGCGGCTAGATTCATTGAAGATTATAAAATACATGTAGGTAAATTGATTGTTTTCATGTTGCCTGTGATTGACTGGTTGACCAGGTTAGGGTGTACCCCACCTATTCCCCAAGTCAGTTGTAATGGGATCCAATTCACCCGTGAACCTAATGACAACAAACCCGATGGATGGACGGATGACCATTTTGACAATATAGCATTTAAACAGGCAAAAGAGTTATACACGTATTATTTATTTTTCAAACACAAATGTTTCTGGCACAAGAATGCATAAAAACACAAGTTAAGTCATTCCATACATCATTCAGCGGAGGATATACTGTGTGTGTATCATGCAGTCTTGAAAATGTTATATCATACTTTATGGAGGGTGTACATGTTTAACATGATTGCAGGTTCAACTCGATTGTCACTTAAGTCCTTCGATCCTGTGCGGTTTTTCTTTCAATTAAATAATGGTTTGGCTTTTTCATGACCAGATCACAAGGCAAACTCTACACGACGGGAGCCAGATACCGTTGACCAAAGCACGGCTTTCAAAGTAATCCTTGATATCATTTCTTGTCATAGGTTCCTCCCTGCAATCCCAGCGCCAAGATAAGGTCCTGCAGTGGTTCAATGTCCTCGGCATCCAGCAGCGCGTGCTGCCGGCAGAAGAGCGTGAGGTGCGTGAAGAGAGTATTGAGGTGCGCGTGCAGGCCCAGCGCGTGCGTCTGCCTGAAGTGGGACCAGTAGATGTGGGCCAGAGTCCTGAACAGCAACAAAAACACCTTCTGCACCAGGAAGATGAAGCCGGTGGGAAAGACCGAGCCTGAAATTGAAAGGTAAACGCTTGAGAGGGATTTTGGGCACATTACCCGGTGCCGCGCATGCCAACATTCATTGAGCCAAGACACATGTTACTTGAAAGAAATCTCATGGCACACCACCAAACAAAACCGTCAGACTATAAATACTGTAATAATAATGCTCTTGTCTCACTTTACTCACCAAAGTAATAACTCGGTGGAATCTGGACCTGTTTAGTTGAACACAAAACTATTATGATCTCAAACATTGACGCAATGCTCTGCCCACATAATAAATAGCTCAGCCTACATGACGTCGGCAAAAAGGTTTTATGATTTATCATCTTCCCCATCTGTCTTTGATGCTTGGTTACGATTGGGGCTCATCATAGGAGTTCATTCAAGCCCTGGAATTCACCCAAATTGGCACCTTCAGACCAAAATGTGTGTGTGTGTGTGTGTGTGTGTGTGTGTGTGTGTGTGTGTCTTGGGACGTTCCCAATCCCTATAAATATACTGTGTGTGTGTGTGTGTGTATGTATGTGTGTGTGTATATATATATATATATATATATATATATATATATATAAATGAAATGTCCCAATATAGAGTTCCATATTTGGCGTGTCAATTGGCGTTACAAATTTTGTGGGGGTATTTTTTGTTTCACTTCCGAGGGGGCGCCACTGATTGAGTTTTGGGAGGTCAAGTTCGGGACCCCTAAAATTCAAACAGCACCTAAAAAGCCAATGAGCAGTGCAGTGAAAGTTGCTGTGTACATTCAGGACTTGTACCTGCTTTTGTGGGGAACACCTCTTCATCCGTAAGTAGGTCCTGAATGTAGGACATGGCATAGTCGAAGTACAAAGGAGCTGAGCATTTCAGCTTCCTGCCATGGTCATCAGTCCAAACATAAACTCTAAGGATAGAAAGCAAGATAAGTCAAAGGGACATATTTTGGAAAATGGATGGCTTATCCAAATAAAGTAGGTGGGTCTCTGGACTGGTTGGACACAAAGTGAAATTAATCAAGTAAATTTTGTCAATGACCTATTTCCCAAATTATGTCTTGGAGCAAGCCGAATGGTAACATCACAATTCAGTCAGTACTGGACTATAAATTGCACTGGAGTATAAATTGCATTTTTGCAGGTGGGGAAATGTACCTGTAATTTACAAAAAAACTAAACCAAGAACATTATCGCATGGACTCTCACCCCAAACCTCCCCAAATTCTTCAATAGGCAGCGATACACCGCCAAAAACATTTTCCATGAAAAATTGGAGTTACCTCCCTCAAATTATTTTTAAATATTCTTATTTTTTATTTTTATTTTTTTTAACATCTGTGATGAGATAAATCCATAGGTGCCTAACCATGTGTATGCAGGGCTCCACTGTATAATTATTATTATTACTATTTCTGTTTTTAATCATCATATTAATGGCATTTCAAAAATAACAAAGAATTGCAAATAGGTGAGTTTTTTTAAACAAAAGAGCTAAGGGTCGATTCCACAGAAAGGGAAAAAAAATTGTGAAAAGCGGACAGAAAATAGAGCGAGGTTTTATTGTATGTCTCTTTAAAATTTTCCATAAAGCTTCACTGGGTTTCACCTTTTTATGTGGTGGCAGCAACAGCAGCAGTACGCATAAAACACACATGACTTTGAAAGGTTCACCTCACAAAATAACGACACCATAAATAACCATATTATCTGACAACTCCATTTCACAGTGCGGTGCACCATTAACTCACGTGTCGCCCGGTCCACAGGCGGTCGGGCAGGTGCTGGGAGTGCAGAACTCCGACAGTGCGCTGGAGAACAGGTTTATGTGCTTGAAAAATGACACGGCTGTGGAGAGGGGGGGAAAATGAAACGGCACATCGTCTTCAGTGGCTGAAAATGAAGCGTTACTCACTGTTGCTGGCCAACCACTCGGCCTTGTCCACGCCAGGCGGGAGCAACGTGAGTGCGCGCATGTCCATAAGGTTGATGTGCTGGCACGCGTACTCCTGATGGAGGTACGGACGCGTCTCCAGGATGTTGTTGTTGATCCCCCTGTGAAGATCAGTGCCGGGGTTATGAAACAATCAGCAGATGAGACATTTTGCGCTCTTTCGGTAACGACGCATCTACTGGCAATTGTGCAGTGTTGATGTTGACACTCAGTTCAGAGCGATGACTGTAAACCTTGCTATTGGCAGAAAATAGGGAGCGAGTCCTGCTGCATATAGTGAAGTACCACACATATTTTTTATTTTTATTCTTTTATCCCAGCTGGCTTCGGGCTGTAGAGTTGAGGAATCCAGTTGATGGCATTTCACCTCAACAGCGTTCAAAGAGTTAACAGGATAAGCAGTTTACAAAATAGAGGAATGGATCGATGGATATTACTGAATAGACAGTCCTGAAAACCTGGACTCACCCCCACTCACCCGTTTGAATAGGCTTATATTTATATTTTATATTTATTTATGTACTTTTTGTCTTCCACTTTCTTCCTTTCATAATTTTGTTACTGTAAATTTGGAATTTCTCCATTGTGAGACAAATAAAGTTTATCTTATCTTATCTTATATTAACTTATATTATACGGTTCGGTTCATTTCAATTGACAAATATGATTTGATATATGGTGGCACGGTGCCTCACAGTGCAGAAGTCATGGGTTTGATTCCGGGCCCCGGCCTTCCTGTGCGGAGTTTGCATGTTTTCCCCGTGCCTGCGTGGGTTTTCTCAGTGTACTCCGGTGTCCTCCCACATTCCAAAAACATGCATAGTAGGTTAACTGATCACTCTAAATTGTCTTTAATTCTGAGTGTGAATGATTGCTTGTGTCATTGGTTGGCACTCAGTTCAGGGTGTCCCCCGCCTACTGCCTGAAGTCCGCTGGGATAGGCTCCGCAACCCACGTGAGGATAAAGCGGTTGAGAAAAGGGATGGATGGATGGATTTGATATCCAGTTAACCCCCGCATACGAATGGACGTCGCTTATATGAAGCTTTTCCCCTATTCGCGGGGGACATGGACCTGTTTCAAGCTTGGTCACAGAACATATTAAAATCTTCACACAAGGTACCACTGTAATTCTATTTTTTTGGAATGGACTCGTGCAGCTGCCCGACTGCTTTTAGACAGCAGCTGGGCATTTACTTGCTGTGACCTCTCCTGCTTCCTATCTGTTCTGTGGGGGCTCGTGCTCCCAGAGATAATTAGTCTAATGGTCCGAGCCCAACTTGAAGGTCAGCAAAGTTACCGAGAGTGTGATTAATCCACATTTCCACCAAGCAGTGCATTTCAGTTCAACTTTCTTTGAGTAATATATCTCGACCTGTCTTGTGTTTCCCCTGTCGTATAGCTTTCTAAATATTTGGATATCATATCAGCGAGACACACTTCGAATTAACTATTTATATTATCTGATGAAAAAATACTAGTGTCAATTATGACCAACAGAGAACATTGTGAGTGACAAGAAAACAACGTGCTGTTTGATCGCTATCTAGCGGATGTAACAATGTAGATTGCTGGAATTGCTGGGATTCTTCGCCTTAGATATGTCACATGTTTGTGTTGCTAGGCAGAGTTCACGCGGGGCTCAATCTGCCAAAGTCTTAATTTCACAATTGAATCGCAAGTCTTTTAAGTACCAAATGCATCTGCGCTGTGCAATGAAAAGTATTAACACTGCTGCCTTGACTTCCGAGTGCCTCAACTTACAAGTTTCCCGAGTTATTAGCCGTCACTTAGTATGTAGATTTATATTGGCTATATTTTTTATTTTATATAGCAGCGGTCTACAGATATGACAACACTATTTGGCTCCAGCGGTTGCCGCCTACAATAAATCAGGGTATCACTGTATCTTTGAATTTTGTGAAAGACGTTTCTTGTGTTTCAGCCCCTCAAAAATGTGCTGAACTTAAAGACCTCTAACAATAGTGTGACCAAAATGGTACAGTACAGTACAGTACTGTACATTTACGCAAAAGGGACAGGCAACTCTGGCAACTGTACATTTCCTTGATTGATTGGGCATCCCCCCCATAGTCAATCAATGAATTGTTGTGTTTTAACCCACATGCTTTGTTGATTTCATTGGTACACTCAAACTATTCATGGATGAACGTATGTGACCATCAATAGGTTTGGTCAACATTAAAAAAAAAAAAAAAATCAGCTTGACGTCGTTTGGTCAACAATTTGCGCATTGACTAAAATTGCTCATTCAGTCTTTTCTTATAGGAAGTAGCTATACTGTAAATTAGACATTTGTGTGTCACTGCCAGGTCCATATATTTAATCCATTAAAACATATTTTTAAAATTTACATTTACAATAAACAGAAAATATGGCGAGCAGCAGTTTTAGATAAATATGTCTATTTAAAAAAAAAAAGTATAATTATTGTCATATTTTTTGGACTGGTCAATTTGACAGGCAGTACATAGCACAAGGTTTGAGTGTCATCTTTAACCCTTTCATGCACCAATAATGATAACCTGTAACCTGATAACCACTGGAGTAACCGCTGTCCCTAAAAGGGTTAATTGACCCTTAAAAAAATATTGTTCAATAATTTGAATAGAATTTATTCTGTTGGCTTCATTTTTTTTCTTCTGAAAAAAAAAAAAATCCAGAACTACTTATAAACAGTATTCTGTATGATTCGACAGAGAGTAAGTCATGTTTACCCTTGAAGACAATGAATTCCTAAGACACTGTGATTATTAGTTTAATATCCATCCGTCCATTTTTTTAATGCCCTTGTCCATATTTGGGTTACAGGTGAGCTGGAGCGCGCATGCTTTTGGGTTGGAAGGAGGATGAGAGGAAGTCAGACTAACAGCAGAAAACCCACGCAAGAAATGGGAGAACATGAAACTCTACAGCTGACGAGAATCGACCCTGGAAACCTCAGAAGTGCGAAGCAGATGTGCTCACCACGGCTTCACCGTGCTGCCACCATCATGTTAAATTCAACAGACGCACTCAATACTTCAGGTAGGTCGTCCCTCTTTTAGTCATGCTGCACACTCGACATTTGATCTACTGTTATTCAACAAAAAAAAAAAAAGTTGCGTCACGAAAGAGGGCAAACCTTGACTGTGAGGCAGATGTGCTAACGATCAGTCCACCATGCCCATTTTGGGACCTCTTCGTGGAAATTCCCCCAAAGAACTATGCTACTTGGTAGAAGGAAATGGAGCGAACATCCTGTCCTGCCTGGACTTCTTTGCCTTCAACCCCTTTGAGGCCTCAGGGCCTTTCGTGGTGCACCGCGCACAAACACACAAATGCACCCACAGCTGGTGTGTTTGTGCATAAACACACCGCAAGTGGAGGTGACGCGTGTTTACCTTTTGCCTGCTGTCCCGTCCGCAGGGTTGGAGTCAACACCATGTATTCAAAGAGCAAACATTTGCACAGTAACTTCAGCTCCCTGCTTTCGCTTCGCCCTACTCGTTTGCCGGAGGAATCCACTGATGCCATCACGCAAATATGCGATGCACACATAAGCTCTTATCTGGAGATCATTCCTGCTTCCTTTTTTTTTAAATGAAGAAAATGTAAAAACACAACTTACAGTTTGCCATCGCAGACGTCGGGAGGTGCGTTGCTGTCCCCTTTGGTGGCGGTGGGGTAACTATGGCAACCCCCCATGGCGGAGAGCTAAGAGCAGAGCCAGCCCCTATTTTCCATCCCGAGCACACTAATACGCATGCACTTTTACGCACAACATATGCTAACACAAGTTATGGATAAACACAGCTGGAAAGCACACACCTCCCCCCCTTTTTTGACAACTTTGTTAGCCTTTGAGGGGGGTCGGGGGGGGCAAGAAAAAAAAATAGTCCCAGGAGTTGACGATCGTTTCCAGCTGTCTGACTCCAGTCGTGTGCGCGTGAGCGTTGTTTCTGTGTGTGTGAGTGAGTGAGTGAGTTTGTCTTCTTTGTCTGGAGTCCCACGCCCCACAAGCGCCCGCCTCCTAAGCTCTGAGCGGACAGGCAGGTTTCTCCAACACTAGTTGAAATACGCAACTCAACTCCACCCCTTCGCCTTCCATAATGATTCTGTGCGTGTGCGTGTGTGTGTAACAGATGCACATGACAAAGTAAAAGTGACTGAAAAGAGAGGATGGACAAACATGTCCAGAGCAATGAGTGTTGTTTGTAAAACTTGATCCGATGATGGCAGCGTGTACTTGTGGTTTGCAGACCTGACTCAAAGTTCTGCGGTTGAGTTCAACATCAAAAGCAAATACCACAGTAGCACAAGTTTACAAAACATTTTGGGGCAAAAAAAAAAAGAAAAAATATGCCCCAAAACTCAGTTCAAACCTTCCTCGTGCAAATATCATCAGGCACATCAAGGATCGGCTGCTCAGTACAATAAAAAAAAAAAAAGCAATTACTTAAATATCAGTTACATATGCTCATTAAAGCCGTTTCCTGCCCATGACCTGTTAGCAAGGCTAGGTGAAGATCTTAAGATTTTCAAGCGACCACCAGGTTGCGCATGTCAAATCCAAAAGAGCTGCAGTATTAGGAGGGCAGATCAACTTCTGATAAGCGACATACAATTGATTGTCCACATTCACTTTTGACTGTGGGATCAACAGGTGACGCATTCCCTTGTTGTCATGGTAACACAAGCCGGACTCCGTATTAGCGCCGCAGTGGCGCAGAGCAGTTGCTCATTTGCGTGAGATGGGACCATCCCCTCAAAACAGGCCGAATTCAGCATGCTGTGTAAACATGAGTGTAATTCCCCGCCCACAACTTGGTAGCTCGGCTGGGCCAAGAGCCTTCATTTGCAAGTGAGCGGGACCCACTTTTCAATTCTGAATATATGGATAGCCCCTCGAACTGAGCAGCCATTTCATTTTCACGGGCGACCGACGTTGAACATGAAACACATATAATCTCTCCACTTAAAACCACATCGAACAACCACGACACAATGGAACAGGAGACAGTTGAAGTCGGTACAGCAGACGCAATCTTGCTATTGGCATAAGAGTAGAGAGACGGCGGGGGGAGGGGGGTGCGGGGGCAGCGGTCGACCCTCAACGCAGGCTAATTTTAGCGAGGCCAAAAAAAAAAAACCATAATGTGCGACACCTGGAAACTGTTTTAAATTGTTTAGCAAAAAAATAAGGGGGCAGTATGTAAGCACGTCTCATTCCATTTGTCTATAAACAGGTTAAAAATATTCAAAAAGAAATGAGTAGACTTTAGGACTTTCTGTGGGAAATCAAGTGCCATCCAAGCAGCGTTCGATAGTGTGGAACAAGAAGCTCTGTAATCTATTAGTTCACCTGCCCTCAAGGTAAACAGATTTGAGCCTGCTGTTCTTGCAGTGCATTGTGTGTCCATGCGTGTCACAGTAGGCCTCACATACATTGACTCACATTTCTTCTGACATATTTATTCAGTTTGTATATGAATTTACAAGCTAAAGTGACAACGAGTAACGGACACATTGCTTCCAAAAAAAAATAAAATAAATAAATAACACTAGCTTCAGTTTGTGACCAAAAAAGAAAGGCATTTTACAACACAGTTTTATTTTCTACTGCAAACACACACACACGCACGCACGCACACACACCTTGGAATGAGCAACGGCCACTGAGATGCCCACAAAGCATCGTGCTGTTACACGGTCACGTCGACAAAGCAACCTCCTGCACTGTTTGACCTATTCAGTGGTTAAAAAAACCCGTTTTCCTTCTCCCTGAATCCTGATTTCTTTGTGCACTTCACACGTGGAACAAGCAAAAGCGTCACATTCATTTTGGAAAAAAAATACGACAAAACAAAACAAAACAAAATCACACCACTGCTTTGGATTTTAATGGCTGCCAAAATAGAGGCTGGAACTACTCAAAGGCTTTGGCAGAAAGCAAAGCGTATTCTAACGTGTGTACTGTCATTAACATGAGCACCATTCAACATTGTAATAAAGCCTTCACCAAAAGCGCTTGTAAATCAGATTCAGATCAACCCAAATGATTCTACTCGTCCATTTTCCATTACGCTTGTCTTTATATGGGAACCTATCCCAGCTGATGTTGAGCGAAAGGCAGCATACACCCTGGCTTGGTCACCAGCCAATCTTAAGAGGGGAATATAGACAAGCAACCAGTCGCACTTGGGGACAATTTCATCTTTAATGAACCTAACACGCATTTGCAAGCACGGGAGAACACGCAAACTCCAAACAGGGGGATCCTGAGCCGAGATTTGAACCCTGAACCCCAGAACTGTGTGGCAGACATGCCACAAGTGCACTACCAGCAAATAAATCCACAGAGCCAATAAGTAACCAGGGTCACCACCGGCCCTGAAACAAGTGGAAAGACAAACAAACACCTTATCCTGAATAAACGCATTCTACTCTCTGGAGTGGTACAAACAAAGATCTCTGGCCACTGTGCGAGGAATTCTGCTTGGAACGAGCCATTTTTATTTTGTCATTGACATCATATGAGTAACAACATGGCAATGGCTATGCAACAGATTTGATTTTCCAGCAGGTTGCCTAATGTGCTACGTTATTAGCCCAATGACATGGAAGACGACACATACACGCACACACTGTCCTCTGGAACTGCTGCTGGAATACCAAAACGTCATTATTGCCTCATTCCAACAGCACGCTCACACACATACAACGCAAACGATCAGTTTCTCCGTCTTTTTTTCCAAAAATAGATATGATTATACGTGTATATTATACATTTAGATTATGTTTATTACCAAGAGTAGCCACAATCTAATACAGGTGCAAATATCACAATAGTTCACTGACAGCTTCTGAGGAGGAGTGGGGGGGAGGTATGAATGGGAACATGCACATCTGTGTGTCTTTTGGAGTTTTTTTTTTTTTATAATACAGTGTGTGTATGTGTGTGTGTGTGTGCGCGCGAGTGTTTTACACAAATGTGCTTTCTTTTTATATCGGGCATACCTCTAACTCAGACCTGAGAGTAACCTCTGCACCTCAGACAGCGTTCTCACATTCACACACACGCATTTAAACTTGAGCAGTGACACGCATGATTTCTAATAGGCCCAGTTGGGCATGATGTTGAAAATATTTGTCACCATATCCTTGATATGTACTTTAAGGTCCATGCGCATACACTCTTGATCTCGCGAGTAGCACATTACAGCACACTAGTAAACCAACTAGCGCGCACTAATAGAATGATATTAGTCACTTTTTTTTTCTATGACCTTCAGCTTGATATCTAGGATAAGGAATAAATGCTTCTACAGCTTTCCATCCACATGACATGTTGAATTTCTGAAATGAAAAATTTGTTTTGCTGGGAGACTCAGACCAGGCTCCGATTCATGCGCAAGATAAGCCCCCCTCCCCGACTGTTGTTTTTGTCTTGGGCAGATCATTTTAATGTGTAACCTCATTTGGCTGTTGGTCGTGCTTCCCGAGCAATGAATTCAGACGTGCCACTGGGCTGGCAAACATGGCCGCTGAGAGAAATCATAGAAAGGCGTGGCTGTGCGTGGAAGGGTGATCGTTGAGAATGATGATGTGGTTAGGCCGGTCCGTTGGCGGGGGGCTGCTTCTCTCTGTAAAACAATATCAAAAAGGGACAGATTTGCAATTAGGTTGACTGTGACGGGAAGCAGAAAAACAGCATTGGGCTCGGGGGTGTGTGACAAAGAGGATGTTCAAGCGCAGGAGAACAATGGAGAGAATGGAAGCGGGCCACAATTGTTCGTGTTTCTCTTCTCTAAAAAGAAACATTCTGAGCATGCGTGACATTTCCTCATATAGTGGTGCTGGATGCCATTCCTTAATTAATTGGATGCCTCCTTTTTGCTTCCTCGGGACAGCTGACTGGAATTCCCTCCATTGTGTTCTGGAGCAGACGTTTTTAGTACAACAGAGCACCTGAAGAGTGGATCTGGCATCTGTAAAGCTGATGTTTATGGGAGAATTTAAAGAGTGCACTCTATGCAGTTGAGTAAATAAATGCCCCCCAGCCATTTTGAAATACCATACCTCTTTAAATGCCTGTTATTCTTGGCACTCTAGTAAACCAGTACCTCCAACCGGTATATGAGGAAATAGGGTGTTGAATATCTCATCCCTAATACTGTACATGCCTTGTTCTCTCTGGAGTTAAGTAAACAAACGCCCCTAGATCCAACTTGAGAACATTCCTCCATTACCGTGTGTTAAAAGTACACAGACACTACTTACTGTGTGACAGCAGCGGGCTGCTGGGTGGGACTGGTCTTCGTTGGACTGGGACAGTCTCCGTGTTTGCTTCCAGATTCCGCATCCGGCTCATTTCCTTCCCCTTTGTCCTCTGCTGTCTTCCCTGCGTGACTTTAAAACAAAGCAAACCGTGTTCTTGCCAAGGAAGGAAATAGAGAATGAAGTGAGCTCCCAAAGGAAAGAAAACAAACAGTTGTCGCAGGTCCTGGTTAAAAGCTCACGGCGGTTATCTGCTCTTGACGGTTTGCCGCCCCGCAGCCCAAACAAAGATCAATTTGTGCATGCTTGTCAAGGGGGTGGTATTTGTTAGTAAACTGCGTGCTAGTGCGTTGACTTGGATTGAAAAGATTTTTGTTCTAAGCATGCAGTGTGGGCAAAACTTCCCCACTTGCTCTCTGCACAGGGAAGACACCAGTTGGGTTTTTAATAGGAAACGATACACTGGATATGTCATTATTGCAAACATCTGTGCCACACGTGAGGCCACAGACACTCCTTTTGCTATTCGTGGATGTGCTAAAGCCTGACTGGTGTTGAGAATAGGGACCAGCTAAGCTAATGTAAGGGTATGTAGTAGGTTAGTGCAGTCCACTGATGAATTAGTCTTGATCGTCGCATCCATCCTTGCTCAAGGCAACAAGCAAAACACGCGTGCCGTCTTTTGTTATGAACGGCATTTGCTTTGTCATACAAACTTCAGGAAATCATCACACGCTTCACATACCGTCGAGTGGCTGGT